TCATCTCTGGCTGAGCCCACAAGTCCCAGGACCGAGGTGGAGCAGGCCCCAGGGGGCCCACCATCCCGAACACATGGCCGCCTGGGCCCGCATGGGCAGCATTTGGCCTCCAGCGGGGCCCAGCACCTGGTGCCTCCAAGAACCGACCGCCAAGGCCCCCGGCTGATGCAGCTTCCTAGCCCGGCCAACAATGTGACGCAGAGAACAAATGTCCTTGGCCTTCTTGGAAGCCCGGGCCCGACGCTGCATGGGTTTCACAGAGGGCCTCCTTTTCACCGGCCGTCGTCATGGCCCCCAGATCGCGCGCGGCGGACTGAAGCTTGATCGGGGGCCCAACGGCACTGAAACGAATTTCCAACTGCTTGCCAAAGCCGGAGTGGCTGCAAACCAGGGCCCGCTTGGAGAAGATGGGGCTGCCTAAACTCTGCTGCTGATGGGTGAGATGCACAGCAGACGACACTAGGGTTCCGAGATTCTCGTCGACGGCCCCGCGCATCCTTTCACTTGCACTGGTCGATAGTGGGCATGGGCACCATCAAATACATCAAACACACCTATATGATAACCCAACGCACTGCCTGCAAACAACCAGCTAAGGCACCTTAACCTCCCTCAGTAACGTCGGACACGTATCCCCAACCTTCCAACATGCGGGGGGATTCATGAATCAAACTACCCAAGTGCAGCAAGTGCACAGGACACTTCATCTTAATCGCCCATGCAATGAGCTTGCGCGGCTCAACAAAATCGAATACCCCGGCGAGGCCCCGGGCGCGCGCCAACCGCGCAAATGCCGAGGGTCCCGGCAACATCGTGGCCGAGCCCCCTCAAGAGGACAGCCCGCAGGTCGCTGGAACTTTTAATGGCAATGTCCCAAAAAATGCACCTACCTTGGGCCCAAACATCCGCATCGTGATGCCGAGCCTTGCGCTGCACTCTGCACAGAGCGGGGCACTTACAGATGAGTCGATCACACCCTATGTTCTTGATTTAAATGCGCGCGCTCAGAAACGCCTGGGCAGGCCACGTCAATTTGAGCTCGCACTGGTCGAGGAGATGCGCATTCCCCAACGCAGCGCCCCCGGGAAGGTCGACCAGCGACCCGGCCCGGGTGCCCAGGTGGTCAGCGCCGACCGCGGTGGAGGGGGGGAAGCACCTAGCCCCGCATTGGACGTCAGAAACAATGAGCGGCTCGAGCTGCCGAGCAAAACTCCTGGCGCGCGTCGGAGACGCCAGAAAGCAAGCCCCGAGAGACATAGAAATTTCAAACAACCGACCAAAATGATCCACGGCACCCCATCATGTCCCCAGGAAGCTGCCGAACGCCAGCGGGGGGAACCAAAACCTGGGGGGCGCCCCCCAAGACGCGCGCGAGCCACGCGCGAACCTTCTTGGCCTCCTCGGGGAGAGCCGCAAGCAGCCAAGTGTTCGCCCCAGCTTCAGAGGGCGCCCTGGCCGCCGACCAAGCATCTCGACTGGGCAATCGCATCGGAGAGGACGTCGAGTTTGTCCTCCTCGGTGGGCGGGCAGCTCAACTGCGCCTTCCACTTGTCGACGCCATGTGAATCATCGCTCGGTAGGCGATCGCGAACAGCGCCGGCAAGACCTTGCAAGATGACGCCGATGCCAGCGACCGTTCGTGGAGTCTGCCTGGCAAGATACAAAGGACACCCCCCCATTCTTGGGGCGGTTGCGCCCGAGAGGCCAGGTCAGGCCCCCGAAAACTCCGGCCTTCAGGACTGCTCCATGCAATGTTGGTGACCCCGAATGCTGGGAAAGCTCCGTGGGCACGGCTAACGTTGAGCTCTCGCGCAACCGCGAGGGACTCAATCATGGCCTCGGTCGCCGTAGATCGCGGAAGATACTTGCACGCGAGGTCGTCGCTCGCGCGGTCCTTGACGCGCAGCAAAAAATGCTCTCCACAACACATGGAAGCACGCGGCTGCCGTGGACCTGGTAGCTGCCGCAGAAGCTGGCTCCCAGGTGATGCAGGCCAACAGCAGTCAGGCACTTGTGTAGGCTTCACTCGCTGCCGCATGCTCTGGAATAGCAGCTTCGCGTTGGGCGGGGGCGGCGAGGCGCGCGTGGGTCTTGGAGGGGCTAGGGTCATGCGCGCCAACAGTCGCATGCCCCCCTCCGGTCCGACGAGACGATAACATAATGCGACGTCAATCCACGCCCCTGCTCGCGCGCCGCGCCCGCCCAGCGCGCGTGCGAGCGCGAGCCGAATGCGGAGGGCCGGGCATTTCCACGTCAGCAGACGGGGCACTGTAGCCTCCCATCAGAACTCAGGGCATGCCCGAGGCCCCCAGGAATCCGGCAAAGGACCGCATGCGTTCGACGTTCACCCCTGAAACGCCCAAGTCCGACATTGAATGAATCGCGCCTGCAGCTATCAAGCTAGATTGCGTTTGTAATTCCAAACAACTACCACGTCGGACCCATTCCGGAATCGCGAAGGCCAGGATCACAGTCGAAGAAACGCCAAAAACACAATCCTCGGGGAACCATTCCCACCGCACCTCCGCGCGTGCCCCCTCCGCGGGGAAGGGGGGGCAGGGGGCAGAGACGTGCCCAGACCATATGGGAAACGCTGCGCTTTGCCTACCGTCGCACGCGGTCTTGGTCCACTGCAAGGAACCAAGTGCCACCTGGTTCGACGAGGTGGCGTTGCAGTACAGGAAATCGATGCTGCCCAGTTTTTCCGCGCGAACTTGGGCCTCCCATTGTCAAAGACCCTGCTTAGCAGCTCCAGTTGCTGCAGATGCGGCGGCGTCCTATTGAGGAACGGCAGCTGGCGCAGGGGGTTCAGCGGGAACGGCGCGCGGCTGCGCTGGCCGCGGTGCCCGCGCACCTGCGGGCCGCAACTGCGAAGGAACTTGTTTGAAATCGACGACGCAGAACCGCGTGAGGCACGCAGCCTCTTGGCGGCCTTGGTGTTGGTGGATTTTTGTATGAGCTTCTCCATGCGCTGCAGCTCCTCCCTCGACAAGGCCGCATCGATGCTGCGCTTCTTGAGGTTTTCCTACCCTTCGATCTGTTCAGCTTCGATGTGTTACACCCCGTCATGCAAACTAGCTGTGCGCTGCACTTATGAAATCTGCGCCCAGAACTCATGCCGCTGCCCATTGGCAGCCCACCGTTCACGAAGTTCGCCTTCGGACCATGTGTGCACATTCGAGGGCGCGGGCGGGACTTCACCTTCATGACCGACTGTACCTTGCTGCTGTGCACCATCATGGGCGGGATGACCTGCGCGCGCTTCTCCGACATGAGAGTGGGGAGCACGGCGCGGTGGGTCGTCCGCTTGCATGGCAGCAGGTGGTTGAGCTCCTGCAGGTGGCACCGCAGCTGCCCCAGGAGGAGCCTGAGCACGCGCACCTGCAGCAGCTGCACGCTGCTCACGTACACGCGCACCGCGTTCAGCTTGCTCATCAACCAGAATCTGCCTGCGGAACTCATGAGGGTCGAACGATCCCATCCCCTCATACGCCGAACGATGGGCCAGCGCAGCTTGCTCAAATTGACCCAGAACTTCAGCATGGGCTCCGTCAGTTCTCGCCAAGGCTTCTGTGCCGCACAACGGCCGCCAGCTTCTGCTCAACCTCATATCGGGCCAAACGCTCGGCCTTGGAGTCGCGCTCCACAGCCAGGGCCAAGACGGTGCGACGTTTGGCGATACGTTTCTCTAAGTCATTGTCGTTCGAAGGGGGTTGGCGCGTCAGCGCCAGGCTGTGGTGGAGCAAGACCACGAGCACCACGAAGGGCATCAGCACGATCAGGGAAACTTGCAGAAAGCCGTTCAAGCTCGTCATCGAGCGCGGGCTTCACCTGCTTCTCATTGCCATGGCCATTGCCAGCAGCACCACGACCACCACGTGCATGACCAGCAGGCTTCGCCACGTTGGGGCCCTGGCACTTCGAGCACCCAGTGTGCCCACGGTAACCAAACTCCCTGGCGGATCGAGGTGGAGGAGGAGGAAGAGGAAAAGGAGGAGGATGAGAAGGAGGAACATAAGGAGGATTGAGGAGTGAGGAATGAGGAGGAGAGGAATGAGGAGTGAGGAGTGAGGAGTGAGGCGTGGGGAGGACGACGACGAGAAGGAGAAAGAGGAGGAGAGGAGGAGGAGGAGGAGGAGGAGGAGGAGGAGGAGGAAGAGTGACAAGGAGGAGGAGGATGAGAAGTGAGGAGGAGGAGGAGAAGTGAGGAGGAGGAGGGAGGAGGAGGAGGCCTGAGGAGAGGAGTGAGGCGGGGGAGGAGGAGGGGGATGATGATGATGATGATGATGATGATGATTGATGATGATATGATGATGATGATGATGATGATGATGATGATGATGATGATGATGATGATGATGATGAGGATGAGGAGGAGGAGGAAGAGGAAGAGGAAGAGGGAGGAGGAGGAGGAGGAGGAGGAGGAGGAGGATCGAGGAGGAGGCTGTCCCCCTCTCCCAAAAGGCTCCGTCCGCCGCTCCCCAGGGCTGCGCACGGCCCCGGCGCGTGCACCGCCCCACGGGGTGGGCAGGCGGAGGGGGGGGCGGGGGGGGCGTCGGGACGGCGAAGCAGTGGTCGTCGGAGAGGGGGGGGCGCAGGTCGTGCCCGTCGGGCGGCACGTGCGCGGCTCAAGGGGGGGGGGGGGGGGCAGGGACGGGGTGAGCCGAAGAGAGGCGCTGTGAAGTCTGAGGAAATGCCATGGCCCACGCCATGATATCCACCCGCCCCCTGGTCACCACCCCCCTCTTGACGAACCAAGAGCACACACACACACCCATACCCATAGAGGGGTCGGAGAGGGCTACGGGTGCGTGTTGCCGGATGGGGGTCCCCGCTCGAACGGGAGCGTTCCCCAGGGTCCGACAACCCGCACCCATACCCACAGCCATTCCTCCTCCCAACGGCCCCCCTATGGGTATGGGTGTCTGTGTTGCTCGTTCGTCACCTCTGGGCCGCCCCCGAGGGGGGGGAGGAGTTCGCGGAGAGACCAGCGGGGCCGCCTGCTGCTCCCTCCCGCGCCGGGGCGGGCGGCCCCAGTCCTCGCGGCGGCGCCGTGGGGCCCCCGCCCCATGGGAAGGCCAGGAATCGTCCTGGGGCCCATGCCACATGCCATCGAGTACGTACCAGTGCCGCTTTTTCAATACAACTTCCACATGCTCCGCGTGCGGATCATGTATTAAACATGCAGGGATGTAGTATGAAAAACAACGATGAGCTCATGCATAAACTTATTCATACATGAATCATGTATTAAACATCCTATGATAAAAACAAATCCCTATGTAGCAAAAACTGCCCTGTACCGCTCTCGCGTGCCAGCCACAGGCGCCTATGGACACATCGGGTGTCGTCACGTCTGTACACATCGGGATGGATACGTCTGCGCACAGCACGGTCGTTGCGCTCGGCGCGGCGCAAAGTCGAAGAAAGGGTAGATCCGTCTGCGGTATGTTCCTGTTCTAGAGCAGGTCCCTCATGGTACTCCAACACTCCTGCTGGCATCCTATGTTGCAGATTCGGGGGACCTTACCTGTCCCGTGGCGCCGGTGTCCGCGTCGAATACGTGTCGAAAACATGCCGGCCTTGTCGAATCCACAACGAACCGACGTCTACCCCGCATGGAAACCACGCCAAATCCACTACGAATTCGCATCAAACCCGATCAAAATACAAGGAAAACAATGAGTTGTGAGTTGCGAAGACAGACCGGGTCCCCCGCGAATGCAAATGGAAGCACCCGTGCCAACTCACCATATCCTCTGCCCTCTCTCGCCCCTGCCTGCCTTCGCTCCTCCTGCGCCAGCGGGCCCAAGAGGTTGCGGCAGCACGCATTCTTCCCTTGGCACGCCCGCACCGGGCACGAACAAAAGCAGGTACCATGCCGAACAGCAAACCTTGTCCAAAACCAAGCGGCCGCTGCAGGGCAGGCGAACTTGCGCCTCAAATGGGCAATGCCCGCGACACAGAACTGCTAGTGGTCTCCTTCTCCATTTCTTTCCATAACCCAGGGCAGCAATTAAGGGCCCCCCTGGGTTATCGTTAGCACCGATATGATAATACATACGTAATTCGCGGGGGCGGATTCAGCAAACAGTATAAGTAAATAAATGTTACCTTTCCATCACCCACTCCATCACCCACACATTTCGCCAGCCAGCGCGTCCCTCCGCCCCGACCCTTTTATTTCGGCACGGCACACCCCTCCGCCCCGACTCCTTTATTTCGGCACGGCGCACCCCCTTCCACACCCCCTCCGCATCCCCCCCACACACCAGCCAGCGCGCCCCTCCGCCCCGACGCCTTTATTTCGGCACGACACCACCCCGCATCCCCCCACCCGAAAGCCAGCGCGCCCCCTCCGCCCCGACCCTTGTATTTCGGCACGCCCACCCCCGCGCGCCCCCTCCGTTCCGACCCCGTTATTTCGACACGGCACACCCCTCCGCCCCGACCCCGTGTATTTCGGCACGGCGCACCCCCTCCACACTCCCTCCGCATCCTCCCCCGCCCAACAGCCAGCGCGCCCCTCCGCACCGACGCCTTTATTTCTGCACGGCACACCCCTCCGCCCGACCCCTTTTATTTCTGCACGGCACACCGCCTCCGCATCCCCCCCGCCCACCAGCCAGCGCGCCCCCTCCGCCACGACTTCTTTTATTTCGGCACGGCACACCCCTCCGTCCCGACCCCTGTATCTCGGCACGGCACACCCCCTCCGCATCACCCCCACCCACCAGCCAGCGCGCCCTTCCGCCCCGACGCCTTTACTTCGGCACGGCGCACCCCTCCGCCCCGACCCCTTTCTTTCGGCACGGCGCACCGCCTCCGCATCCCCCCACCCACCAGCCAGAACGCCCCTCCGCCATGACCCCTTTTACTTCGGCACGGCACACACACACACACCGCACTCCCCCACCCACCAGCCAGCGCGCGCCATTCCGCCTCGATCCTTTATTTCTGCTCGCCCCCCCCCCTCCATGCGCCCCCTCCGCCCCGACCCTTCTATTTCGGCACGGCGCACGGCACACCCCTCCGCCCCGACCCCATTTATTTCGCCCCCCCCGCGCGCCCCTCCGCCCCGACACCTTTATTCCGGCACGACGCACCCCTCCGTCCCGACCTGATATTTCGGCACGGCACACCCCTCCCCCCCCCTCCCACCCACCAGCCAGCGCGCTCCCTTTACTTCGGCATGGCACACCCCTCCGCCCCGACCCCTTTATTTCGGCACGGCACACCCCCTCCCACCAGCCAGCGCGCCCCTCCTTCCCGACCTCCTCATCCTCATCATCCTCCTCCTCCTCCTTCTCCTCCTCCTCCTCCTCCTCTTCCTCCTCCTCCTCCTCCTCCTCCTATTCATCATCCTTTCCCCTTCTCCCTCATCCATCCATCCATCCTCATCCTTCTCCTCCTCCTTCGAACGGTTCGGCTGTCCCACTCATTGCTCCTGCACTTCCCTGATCACCTCAACTCGCCTGGGCGTCGTTTCTGGATGAGCTGGTGGGGATACACGAAGCGTCAAGAGTTCACTACTCCTGTGGCGTGCTGGAAACAATCTGATAGCGCTGAACTCCTCCTCCTCCTCCTCATCATCCTCCTCTTCGTCCTACTCCTCCTCCTCCACCTCCTCCTCCTCCTTCTCCTCCTCCTCCTCTGCTCATCCTCCTCCTCAGGGTGCCATGATCAATCTTCATTATTGTTTCAACGGAAGGGGGGTCCTTAATTGCCGTCCTGGGTTACGCATTTCAATTCGGCCGCAACGGTTTCCGTTGTTAGGCGGACGCGTGTCGCGTATCTGTTCGAGCTGCCCCAGTGGAGGACGGAGTAGAGGAAGAGGCGGGTTCGCACAGTGATGGCACGCCGCAGGCGTGATGCACTCAGAATTCATGTCTGCCGCCCTCTCTCCTTGACGCCCCGCCGTACCCATCCCGAAGATCCTGAGATTTTTTGTCTGTGCCATTGGGTCAGGCTCTCATCGCTCACATACCGCACATGTACGACGATGTTGAGCTTGGGTGGGAGGATCTGTGGCCCCCCAGGTGGGCGCCCTAACCAGCTCGACGCGCGCTCACCAAGCAGCACAGCGTTGCCTGCAGCCTGAAAGCTTTGGCGGTGCGCACACGGGGGTGGAGGGAGGGGGGAGGGCTTCTCAGAAGGACCTGGTAGAACTAGGTTTAGTGGCACCTGGTTTAGTGATCTGTACTGGGGGCGCCCCCCCGTCCCATTTCCACCAACCGGAACTGCCGTCACCCTAAAAACACCAGCTATGGCAAACCTGGCTTAGTGATGCTGGCCAATCCGAAGGCTCCGGGGCCCTACCACTAACCGGGTCCCCTTACCCGGGGTCCTGGCCATACCCGAAAGGAGGCTGCTTCGTAGAAGGCGCTCGCCTGAATTACGTCTATCAGGCCCGCGCCTTCTCAGAAGCAGGGGTGCTTCTAAGAAGGCCCCCCCCCCCCCTCCCCCCACCCCCCTCTGCGCGTGGCTGCAAGCTGCTGCAGGGCTGCCAGCGGCTGCGAACCACGAGCGCTTCGGCGGGCCCCCGTGCCGGCAGGCTGCTCCCGGAACGCTCCCGCGAGGGCCGCCGAGCCCCTGCGGGCGTCGCTCGAGGCGTCTCGCGCCGCACCCGCGCCGCGGCGAAGGGTGCCCCCGACCCGCGGCGGCGGCGGCCCCGACTCGGGGCAGGCACTCGGATTTGGACGCCCGAAATGGGTACGGAAAAAATGGGCACAATGCCCAACAACAAATGTCGTCCCAAACCAACAGCGGCCGCTGTTGGGCAGGCGGTCTTCTGTCTCAAGTGGACACAGGCCGCGGCGGCGCGGACAGCGAGTCCTGTTCAGAATGAACAGGAACTGCTGGTGAGCAGTGTACCCATTCTTTCCGTGCCCATCTCGTTCGCGCGGATAGGGGGCCACATGCGAACCCTACCCCTACCCCCCACGACTTCTGAGGGAGGGGGGTCACTTCGTCTGGGAGCTCCCGAGCGAAGTGACCCCCACCCTCCCCCTCAGAAATCGTGGGGGGTAGGGGTAGGGTTCGCATGTGGCCCCCTATCCGCACGAACGAGATGGGCACGGAAAGAATGGGCACACTGCTCACCAGCAGTTCCTGTTCATTCTGAACAGGACTCGCTGTCCGCGCCGCCGCGGCCTGTGTCCACTTGAGACAGAAGGCCGCCTGCCCAACAGCGGCCGCTGTTGGTTTGGGACGACATTTGCTGTTGGGCATTGTGCCCATTGTTTCAGTACCCATTTCGGGCGTCCAAAAACACAGGGGGCTGCCTCCACACGGGGAAGATGCTCCCAGATTTCGGTGTTGGTGGTGATGTTTCGGTCACCTGGAAGCCAGAATATATTACCACCATCGCCGAGATCGGGATCTTCTTCCCTCGGTGGAGGCACACCGCCGAGATTGGTGTTGGTGTCAACCTCTGGGCCTCCGAAGCAGGCCGGGCCGGGCCCCATCGCGCCGTAGCTGCGGCATTCTGGCATACCCGCGTTCGTCCACGAAGAAAGAGGGGGAGGGACGAAGAGGGGAGGAGGGAGCATGTGGGCGAGAAAGAGAGAGGGGGGGAGGAGGACGAGGATGAGGAAGACAGGGGGGCAAAGAGGATGATGAGGAAGACAAACAGGATTCGTCCTCGCGTCGTCATTCCACGGTTCATCGTTCGAAATGCCATCATTGGGTAAAGCGCTGTGCGCACAGCCATGTACTTGGCAGTACGCCGATGCTCACGATGCAAATCTCACGGTTTGGTCCAATGAATGAAAGCAGGCCCAGAGGTCGCCAGACCCATGGGGGTGGCCAGGGGGCACTCTAGACTCCTGCTGGTGCGGATGCCATCCGTACCATTTCACCGGCTCCGCTGCCATCTCTTGCCACTGCCTGCATCTCTCCTCCTGCGCCAACTTACCTAAGAGGACACAACAGCACGCACACACACCACAGAACACACACCACAACACACACAGACACACACACACACACGAGAGAACAC